AAAAAAAAAGCAAAGCGGAAAAGAAATAAAAATAGGGATTTGTTTTTTTTAGGTCCTCCAGGTTCTTCCCCAAAGGGACCCCAAAATTCCCCCGGGAACCCCAAAGAGACCCCAAAATTCCTCCCGGGACGCAAAAAAATTCCAGATTCCATCTAGGAACCCCAAAACTGCCACAAATTCCCCTAAAAGGACCCCAAATTTCCTCTGAAATTCCCGCAGGGACCTCAAAATTCTCAAAAAAAAAAAAAAAATTCCAGATTCCATTTAGGGAACCCCAAAACTTCCAGGAATTCCCCCCAAAATTCTCCTGAACCCCAAAAATTCCTGATTCCTCCATGGGAACCCCAAAACTGCCCCAAATTTTCCCAGGAGTTCCCCCAAAGGGACCCCAAAAATTCCTGACCCTCCCCAAGACCCCCCCCAGGATCGCCACTGGGAGGGGACTGGGATGTACTGGGGGTCACTGGTCTGAACTGGGAGCACTGGGGGAGGTCACTGGAGGTCACTGGGAGGTCACTGGGGGTCACTGGGGAGGTCACTGGGGGTCACTGGAGGTCACTGGGAGGTCACTGGGGGTCACTGGGGTGGTCACTGGGGGGTCACTGGTGGTCACTGGGGGTCACTGGAGGTCACTGGGAGGTCACTGGGGTGGTCGCTGGAGGTCACTGGTCCGAACTGGTCCAAACTGGGAGCCTCGAACGGGCCCTCAGCGCCCCCTACCGGCCGAGGTTCACGGTCGCCATGGCAACACCAGGCCACGCCCACGCCCCGCCCCGAGCGCTCTCATTGGTCAGAAGTTGCAGCGCGCGCTCCCATTGGTCACCACTCCCCTCCCTCCCCACGCCCCTCCCCTCACCCAATCAAACCACGGGGGCGGGATCCCCTGACCAATCAGCGAACAGCAATTTAAACTGACAGGCGGGCTAGCCAATAAAAGCTCGGAGGGGGCGTGGCCTCACAGCACCTGGCGGGGTGGGCATGGCCGGGAGGGGTGGGCGTGGCCGGGCGGGGCGGGCGCACCTGGCGCGGGGCGGTGGCGCCATGGCGGGAGCGGAGCGGGGACCTCGGGAGCGGCGACCTGGGGAGGGCCTGTGGCTACCGCGGCTACTGCTGCTGCTGGGGGGGCTCGGTGAGTGCCGGGGGGAAATGGGGAGGGGGAAACGGGCGGGACAGGAATTGGGGAGGGGGGCGAGGGG